AGGAGGTGGGGGGGCTTTTGTGGTTGGTGGGTCGGGAGTGTTCTGTGGGGAAGTGGCGGGAGCAGGTGCCTTTGGGAGACAGGTGTCTGCCTGGCACAGCCCGAATTGGGAGCCCACAGATGTCACTGTGAGCGAACACTTCAAGGAAGGGTATTGGGGACAACGAAGGTGCTGGAATGTTAGAATAAAATGGTAGTCACACTTCAGGGAGCAGCGGTCCTCGGTGCTGCTTATGAACATGTCCGTGGAGAGAGAGGTGCCACTGGAAGGTGTCAGGTTGTCAGGATGCTTTGGTGGGGATGAGACTCTGGGCAGGTTAACTCCCATCTCAGTGCCTCAGTGTCCTCATCTGTAAAATGGGAATAATGCTGTTGATGCAGGGAAGGATTAAATTAGCTCCTGTAAACTGCTTCAGAAATTTTATCTGTAGTACAAGGTGTTGTGGTCCATTACCCAGCAGCATCAGAAAGGGCATAGGTTTCATGTATGGGAAGTTTCTTTGAAGTTTGATTTTTTTTTAAGATTTTATTTATTTATTTGACAGAGATAGAGGTCACAAGCAGGCGTAGCAGCAGAGGGAAAGGGAGAAGCAGGCTCCTTGCTGAACGCAGAGCCAGATATGGGACTCGATCCCAGGACCCTGAGATCATGACCTGAGCTGAAGGCAGATACCCAACCAACTGAGCCACCCAGTCGCCCCCCGATTTTTTTTTTTTATTATAAATAGCATTTCTCTAGTTTGATTTTGTTGTTGTTGTTAAATGTACTTAATAACATCCTTTGTAGCTGACAGAACAGTAACCTTCTGGCACGAGCTATTTCCCTAGACTTTCAGCATCCCTGGACCTTCTGGCACACTTGTGACACATTGGAAAGTCAGCGTGTTAGGACCAGGTTTCTTTGCTCCCGTAATAAGAATGGTGTTGCAGATCCCTTTAGGAATTCAGAGCCAACTGAAGTGCTTTGAAAAGGTGAGGTTCCTGTGAAGAAGAGTGGCAAAACAGGAGTTAATGTAAAAACAAAAGAAAGGTGCTTTCTTGTCTGTCTGCTTTTCTAAAACGGAAGCAGCATTTAGTTGGGGTGTGGTTTGTGGCAGGAAAAAGTGCGGTTCTGGAGACCGCTGCCTTCCTACGGAGGAGCTTTGGGATTGAATTCTAAATACATCAATTAAGTGGAGTAAAAGAATTTACAGATTTTTTTTTCGCCTCAACCATTTATGCATGAGATTCACCTCCAGAGCTTCTGGCCAGCTTGTCACCTGGTTCGCGGTCCCTTGGAGCCCTGTGTAAATCAGACCCCTCTAGTGTAGATGTTCTAGATCCAACGCTATGGGACTGCCTACAACCTTGCGTCACACCCCTTCCATCTGTCTGTCTGCCAGGATTTTGGTTTACTACTGTGGCATGTCTTCTGACAGCAGATCCTTTCTGTCTGTCTGTCTTTCTGCATGACATACCCTCTCGCCCTGGGTGTGTAAGTGTGAGCAGTGCCCTGTGTTGCACGCACATAGACTCCTTGCCACTGTTCAGCTGCAGGAAGAAACCAGCATGGGTCAGCAGCAGGGTCCCCCTCCCCATTGCTTCTGTGTGTGTGTCAGACCCTGGGGACATTAGCCACCCTCTGGAAGGTTAGTTCTTAACCACTTTCTCTCTTAGGTAAACAAACGCACCTGTTTCATGAGACGTCTTCATAGTTTCTTACAAAAGAAAGAGGGGAACTGGCACAGAGCTGGGCTGCTTGGAAAAGCTCACACTGTCCCTTTTTTTTTTTGTTATTTTTGGTTTTTTTGTTTATTTATTTGTTAGAGCTAGCACAGGCAGGGGGAGGGGCAAGCAGAGGGAGAGGGAGAAGCAGGCTCCCCACTGAGCAGGGAGCCCCGATGGGGGGCTCGATCCCAGGACCCTGGGATCATGACCTGAGCTGAAGGCAGACACTTAACCAACTGAGCCCCCGGGGACCCCCAGACCGATAGCTCCAAAGACGGGTTTTGAAGGTCAAGAGACAGCTTCCACACACACGTCCCTGCTGGCTGCTGCTTCTCTTGCTCTCCACTTGACTTGTCCTTACCCCCGAGCAGGAATGTCCGGTGTTGTTTTTGGAGCAAAATTGAGGCTTTAGTTTCTGAATCAGCCATGAGGAGTCATCTGTTTCTCCCTATAATCCTAGACTGCCACCTTCCTATTCTTAATCCTGCCAGTTTCCTGCCAAAGAGATTTGCCTTATTTTCTCCCTGCTTTTGACGAGCTTAACTCCAACCTCTGTGTCATTGAAACAGCATATGCCACGGCGTCCTGCTGAAACGAGGCAGGAATTTTAGAACACGCATGTGACCTCAGAGGAAGTCAGACCAGAGTCTCCTTTGGTGTGTCCAGAGTTCACTTAAATCAACTGTGTCAAAGTTTGGGCCGGCTTCCGATGGTGCTGCTCTGTCTTTGCATAATACCTGGTTTTGCTGTCTTGTAGCCAGAAATAATGCCGTGAAAATACCAGAATGATAGTGTTGAGCCAAGATGAGCCATTTCAAAAGGCCAGATTCTGTAATAGCACTTTTCAGCATGACTGTCTTCTTAAACCCTCATGCCTCCCAGATTCAGGACTTTTAGGATAATAGGACTTAATCATGGGTGTTTTCAGGTGAAACAGAGAAAATCATGCCACACTTGCAGACCCCGTGCATTTCTGCAGGAATCTGAAGGCGTTCATGACATTTGACATCTGTTGGGTATAGGCAGTTAGGGTTCAATCCTAAAAATTGCAAAGAAGTAGACATACTTTCAGTGCTAGCAGAAAGTTGGTATTTGCATGCTTTGTTATGTACTTGAGGTTTTGTCTTGGAGTAGAACAAAGCCCCTGGTCAGGATCTAGCCTGTTTTTATCTGGAATCCATCCTGTGAGAAAGTGGAACTCCCTGGAAACACTACCCACTAGCCGTCTGCAAGGTGGTTGAGATGCATAGTGATGACTGAGAACATTCAATGTAGCAGAAGTGCTTTTAAATCATTGCAGGAAGGTGAAAGTGTGTTCAGTATAATTGGGCATCTTGACTTCACTGCTTTGCACCCAGGTCCTCCCATGATCCCGGGCACCTCTGACTCGCCGACACCCTTCCTCATAGCCCATGCCCTCTTCTCCTCCCCTCCTCCCCACTTCGCTCTGGAGTGCCACGCGCGAGCCCTCAGCCCTCGTCACTGCCTGGAACAGCACTTGCTGTTCCCTCGGCACAGTTCCTCATCCTGCCTGGAGCACAGCCCCTCCACTTTTCTCTCCTTGGAAGGACCGGGTCCTCCCGGCCATACATCCCTTGACTTGTCCCCTCCCGTTCCCGAGCGCCCCGCCTGCAGTGTCTGGGGCTCCACCTGGGCTCTGGCAGGACCCTCGCGTCCTTCTATCCTGCTGTTCTTCTGGCTCGCCTGCCCGGAAAGCCTGTAGCCCCACCTTGCTCCAGCTGCCCCCTCTTTCCGCATGTCTGGGCTGCAGACAGGGTCCTGCGGGGGGTCTGCTTGGTGCCACTGGCAGCTCCTGACTTTCGCTGTCCCTGGGTTCTGACCGGTCCTGGGGGCTTCTCTTTAATGTCCCAAGTTGTTTCTCTATTTCCAAAACCTGCCCCCCGCCCCGCCCTGCAGACACCAGTCTCTAGTGCCTGTCTGACCATCTCAGGTACCCTCTGGACCCTTTCCGTGGCCCCTTGTTGCTCTGAGAACAAAGCCTGAACTCCGAGATCAGACCTCAGAGGCTCTCCCTGGTTTCGGTGTAGTTCCCCAGAGAACTCGGTCACCTCCTCCCTGTCACACGGCATCTGCTGGCTGCTTTGAGCTACATGCGGTTTCTGGTGGTGAATACGAGCCTTCTCATCTCCTTGAACTTGCTGGCCCTTTATCTGCACCACTCTCTCCGGCTCCTGGTCCCCGTCCGCTGGCCCCCAGATGGAGTCTTCATTCCTCTCCAGGTTTTAGCATAGATGGAGCGGGTGCTGGAGAGCATTTCCAAACCCCCGGCCCCTCCGCTGCTGTCTCCCCACCAGAGAGAGTTTGTGCCCTTTCTGCCGCCATGTGCTTCTCCTGTGTTACGACTTCTCCTTTTATACCGCCTCTTTATTTGTCTGGTTCTTGTGAGAGACGGCTCACTGGGAACATGGGGACGGTGTCCGTTTTGTTCACAGTTGTATGCCAAGTACCTGGTAGCTGGTCTTGCTGCACTGTAGACATTTAATAAAAATTTGGGGGTGAGTTAAGGGATTCATAAGTTCCTCATTACATGATTCCTGGGAATCGTGTAGGAGAGCGTCGGCTAACATTTGTTAAGACTTCACCAGGCACCAGGGACAGTTTGGGTAACTTCACGGCTATTAATTTCTTTCTTTTGCTGTTAGGGTAGGTCCTCCCATTTTGCTAGTTCTATGAATAATGAAACTCTGGGGGTGGTTGACTGTGCCTTTAACCATTACCCTGTCCTGCTCATGTGCCCCAGGACTTTGTTAGCTGGGAGGCTGAGCAAGGGGGCTGGGTGTGGCTCCCACCCAGAGGAGTTGTCCCCTGAGGGGAGGAGATGGAGAAAGGAACATACTCTTTCTCGATGGCCATTCATAGGCGGTGCTGTGGACAGAGGAGATTTGTATGTGAATTTTTTTTAAAAGTTAGTGATTCATATTCAGCATATACCTGATCTAATCCCTCATTCAACGGAACATCCTTTTCTAGCTATTCCAGTACAGTCAAATCTTACAAAACAACTAAATAACATAGACTCTGCACCTCACTGGCTAATACCCCGAGCTTACCAAAGGGAGTTCAAGACACAAGGTCATTGTTAAGTTCCTGCAGATCACCTCCTTCTTAGTGCTCAGAAAATGGAATTATTGTCACCAAAATGGAAGTGGCATCCATCTTTGGTTTTAAGAAGGGCATGTCACCAAATAGATTTCTGGGTGCAGTGCAAAAAACAAAAACAAAACAAAAAAAAACCTTGATTTTTGAAATTCATTGTTACTGTTGGTCTTACAGGCGAATCATGAAAAAAGTCTCCATGGAGCCATCTGAGCGACTGGCCAGTCTCCAGGCTCTGTGGGACAGCCAGACCGTGGCCGAGCAGGGCCCCTGTGGTGAGCATGCATTTTAAAACCAAATTATAAATGGCTGCGTGGATGTCCCCCTGCCACGATGTTATGTCCATTCCTAGTATCCTCCTGGAAAGGCGCAGTTGGTTTGAAGGTGTAATTAGCACCACACAGACTTTGGATTGGTGGACGAAAGTCCTATATTTAAGGGGTATTGAGTGCTGCTGTGTACTTACTATACAACAGGGAGGGGAGAGTCTTTGCTGTTTCCCCAAACAGAAAGAACAATCGGCATTGTCAACATCGGCCATATTTAAACTTTTATATCTTAACTTCAGAGAAATCATTTAGCCGAAGACCTGTCACATTTCTGTTGTGGGTTTCAGGTGGATTTTCTCAGATGTATGCCTGTGTTTGCGACTGGCTCGGATTTTCATACAGAGAAGAAGTACAATGGGTAAGTGTATATGTGTGTGCACACACACTCACCCCTGGAGAATAGGCCAGTATTTACCAGCTTACTTCTTCCCCCCGACCCCCACCCCAATTCATTTTTTTTGCTTAAAATCTTCCTCAGGTTCCTTGAAAATCTGTCTGTGTCATTGTCTAATTCTTGTTGTGTCCCTCTTCCCTGATCATCTTTGTGGACTGTTTACACGATTGAATTCTATTTCAAATAGGATGTGGATACAATTTATCTGACACAAGACACCAGGGAATTGAATTTGCAAGACTTCAGTCATCTTGACCACAGGTAAGCTACTTCTTTCTTTTACAACTAATTGTGCCTCCAAAGCTGTATTTCTCTGCTGGTGCTTACAGACATACGTGATCTCCAGAAAATCCTGTTACAAGGGAAGTCAGGAGACTCTAAGCATCTCTGAATCCTGCCTTTCAAGAGATAGTTTCAGCTGTGTGCATTTCGGGCTGATGTGCATGTGCGGACCTCAAATCCAGAGTTTGTAGTTAGAAACTGTAGAGACATAATTCTTGAGTTCTTGTACCAGCCCACGGAAGTCCGTTTCATCATCTGCCCTGTATACATGATACAGTATTATTTTGCCTGATTGCCCTGAGAACATTTTTCTAGGAGGAAGTTTTATGCGGCAATCATAAGAAATGACTTTTTGTTTATAATTTCTTTAGGAATTGGGGATTGCTCGAGTACGTGTGTGCATAGATTGGTGGAAATCCATTTCGCCAGTATCTGCCTTGTGAAAACGACAGTACAACTGTGAATCCTGTTATATGTTATTTGAGAGACCTGTAGGTTTGAAGATCTTGACTCCCGTATACTTAGGGCTGGGGCTCGAGTGGCCAGGCCCCAGAGAAGCAGCTTCATTCTGTTGGTCCCAGTGCTTTCTCCCTGGCAGGGCTGAGCGGTGACCCAGTGCCTTTGCTGGTGCTTTATCCTGGGTTTCCCCACCTCCTACACCCTGGATGTCCTGTTCCTAATTTTAAGTAGCAGGTATCAGTCCCACCCCAGTGAGCCTCAGCCTGGGAAATCTTCCATCTCTGTTTGGATTTGAGAGAGAGAAAGAGAGAGAATCCTGGGATTCCGGCTGTCCCTTTTGTGCCGGGCGGACAGTCGGGATTGCAGACCTCGTTGTTGCTCCTTCTTAACCACCAGCATCTTGCCCCAAAAAATGCCGTTTCAGGGTATTTCTCCACCTCTCTGGCAGGGAAATCCAACACCAACAGGGCGAACCCCTAAGAGCTGAAGCCAGCTGAACTGAGCAGAGAGCACATATGCCAGCTAGATGGGGCTCGTGTCTGTGTGGTGGGTGTATGGAGGACAGAGAGGCAGGGTCTGCTGGGTCTGTAGTTGTGGCCAACGCCAGGTGCCCACCACCCCTGCTGCTCAGGCTTGGCTCTGCTCCCTTCCCGTGGAGCAGGCAGCTTCTTTCCTGCTCAGAGCCGCTCTCCCTTTTCTTGCAGACGAGGGAGCGTCCTACTCCCATTCAGGCTTGCCTGTTCCCTGTGTAGCACATGAAAAAGTGAACTGAGAGAGAGAAAGGGAAAATATTTGCTCTGCCAGCTTTTCTGCAGTAAAAACAGAAAGTGGAACGTAGAATAAGAGGACTGGGTAGGCTTGCCGTATCAGAGCTCAGTGGTTTTGGCCCCGGGATCCCTTTATCGTTCTTGAAAACAGTTGGGTTTCTGTTCATGTGGGTCTATCTTTTGGTACTGATCATCTTAGAAGTTAAAACTAAAATTAAAAACGTTAATTAATTCCTTGAGAAATGTTCATAAGCCTATTACATGTTGCCATCAGTACCAGTTTTACGAAAAATAACTATTTTCCAAGACAAAAAGCCGCGAGAACGCATTCGTTTACCTCTCTGCTCCTATCTTTAACTCCCGACCTCATAGAAGACTGCTGCGCTCTGCTGTGGTTTGTGGCACAGAGTGAAACACACGAAGAAAATGCAGACTTAAGCAGACACGTAGTTACAAAAGGGAGCGTTCTGAATCACCTTTTCACTTAGCTGGGGCTAGTCTTCCGTCATCCGCCACAACGCAGGAAGAGGTGGTTTTCTGATGGTCAGAGGTAGGATGGAATCGGAAGCCGTTCAGTGAACATTTTTGATTTTGTGACATTAAAATGCATCTGGTCCTTCTTGTACTTTGATGGATCTTACCCTTAGATGATTGTGTAGCATCCTGCGTTGGTCATTTAGAAAATACTAGTTCGCGGAGTTATGCCTGGCATCCAGATGTTCTGTTGTTGTACAATAGGGAGGAAAGAAAACCTCTGTCAGCACTGCCTAGCTTACCACAAAGTCTCCAAGTGTGGCACGGCTGTCAGGCTCACCATGGCAGATAAAGGTTTCCCCAAATTCAGATTTTTTCTTTAAAGATACAATTTTACCATTCTATAAAGTTTACTTTATAAAGTTACTTACTGCTGTCAGGTGATTTCCTTGAAGCGACTGCTAACTTTTCACCCCTTAGAGAAAATACCTGCCAAATCCCAAGTCTCCATAACTGTGTTGTGTCATTTTTTTTTTTTTTCATGGTGTGCATGAAAAAAGGGAGCTAGTTCTGCTTCTGACTGTATCCCGGGAACACTTCATCTGACACAGTGAACCCCCTTGGTGCATAGAGGAAGCATTTTGGGCATACTTCTGTTTTGTCCTACAGGCGTGTCATCAAGGGCCGAGATTTAATAAAATGAGTACTTTTTACTCCCCCAGAAAGGGCTTTCTTAAATGAAACTGGCGCTTGGTTAAAGCAGCTGGGTGTGTGGTGATGGAGAATATAGTAACCAGCATCCTGGCTTGGCACTGCTGAGGCACGAGCCATCTTTTCCTGTCCCTTCTCTACCTGCGATGCAGATGTCTCCACGGCATGAGGGACAATTTGTTTTCGTGTTACTATGAAAATACTTCTGAACTTGTGAAGCCCCTGAGGGCATCTCAGGGTTTCCCTGGGGTCCGTGGACCACAGTTGGAGTAAGCACGCTGTGTGGGGCAGCTTGAGGTGTTTCTCCAGCTTTCTTTGTTCCCCCCCTTAATGACTTTCACACCATTCATAGGTTCTACATAGCGGGAGGGCTGAATTTTCCAGCTTACCCACTGTACTTAATTTGGTGACTAATCTGTCACCAGGGGGAAACTGTATCTAGGGACGCTACTGATAAATGCAGTTACTTGACATATGCAGAACTGTGCAGAATCCTACCCGCAAGTGAGAAGCCTTGTCAAAACCCTAGATTCTTCCTACAGATCTTTCCTCATTCCTTAGCTGGAGAATTTTCAGTTTCTCAGTAAACACTGCATTCGTAAATCATCTACTTTTTTTTACCTGATTAAGGGCTAGATGGATGTTTCTAATTACTGAGACTTCAGATGAGAAGGTGGAACACTTTTTCTGTGAAGGACCAGGTAGTAAATATTGTAGGCTTTATGGGGCCGATGGTCACTGTTGCAGATGCGCAGCTGCTGCTGTAGTCTGGAAGCAGCTCCAGACAGTACGTGACTGAGCGTGACTGTGTTCCAATAAAACTTTATTTACAAAAATACACGCCGTGGGCTGTGGTTAGCTGACGCCTGGTCCACATCAGCGGCCTCTCATGGGGGATGTATATACCCAAAGAGAAATGCAAGATGAGCTACAAAAGAAATAGAAAAATAATGAGCTGTTATTTATATTCATTGTTGACTCATTTTAAAATTTCTTATCTTTGTTTTATAATATACAATACTATTATTGTGGTAGTATTTAGTATATATTAATTATGAAAAAATTAGGGCATTCTCAGAATTTTTCTTTTTTTAAATTTATTTGTTTATTTATTTATTTGCAGTGGGCTTAATAACAGGCGTCACTGCTCTAGATGTCCTCTTTCCTATTCATGTCTGAATACTTTGGCTTTTTTTCAGAGCTGTCTTTCTCTCCAATCTTCAAAGTTTATCCTGTCTTTCTTGAGGATATAATTTGTCCCCACAATTCTTACTATTAAAATAGATACCGGCTTTGGTGTGCCTGGGTGGCTCAGTGGGTTAAGGCCTCTGCCTTCAGTTGGGGTCATGATCCCAGGGTCCTGGGATGGAGCCCCACATCGGGCTCTCTGCTCGGCAGGGAGCCTGCTTCCTCCTCTCTCTCTCTGCCTGACTCTCTGCCTACTTGTGATCTCTGTCTGTCAAATAAATAAATAAAATCTTTTAAAAAAATAGGTACCAGCTTTTATATAAAGAGATGACTGTCCTTCCTGTTAGGTGGCCCGTGTTAATAGTATTTTGCCCAATCAAGTTGCAACAAAGTATATTGGTGAACATTTCTGTTCAGAAGCATGTGCTTGCCTGCCCAAGAAGGAGACCTGCACGTGCCTGGCAGTGGTTGGGAAGGATACACAGCGGGTCAGTCTGGGTGTGATAAGGGTCATTCTCTGAATTTGGGAGGTTTTACAAGAACCTTAGTGACTTTCTCATTTGCCTGTGAATCAGGGAGAAGAGAATAGAGGAATTAGGCAAATTGGAGGTGCTAGAGGAGAGATTAGGTGGGCTACATGTTGACTTGGAGCCTGTCAGCAAACAGGGGCCATGCTTCTCCTACGCATTGATGGGTTTTCCCACAGTGGCAGCTGGCCCCGTGTATTTCTAAGTGAGCATAATTTCCAATTGGCCATTATTCCAAGCTTTATCTCTTCATGCCATTCTCTCTTGTATTTACTCATCACAGTTAGAAACATCCCTTGTTACGAGTCCTCGAAACCATTAGTGATCCTGGAAGGGAGATTCCCTGAAGGCTGGGCTGTGTCTGTCCCATTCCTGCTGTGTGATGTGAGGCTCTTGGGTCAAACCAGTGGCCCAGGATTTTCAAGGGATATTGAGCTGCTCTGGAGGAGCAGATCATTAACCTGGGAGGTCAAGGGGATATTTATTTTTTAAGGTTTTGTTTTATTTTTTTAAAGATTTTATTTTATTTTAAAGATTTCATTGATTTATTTGACAGAGAGCAAACATGAATGACGGGGTAGGGCAGAGGGAGAAGGAGAAACAGACTCCCCGCTGAGCAGGGAGCCTGAGGAGGGGCTCGATCCCTGTTCCTGTATCGTCAGCCCCCATCATAGAGTCTTTAGGGCCCTGCCTAGGAGCTTCAAGGGAAATTTATAAGCAAATTGAAGGCCATGATAGATGACTAACTGAAACGCTGTATCGCAACTGAGTGTAGGACCAGATGCCCTGTTGTTGCTGGAGAAGCATTCGGGGGTGAGGACGACCATGGGCTTATTAGGTCCATCCAAGTCCT